TTAGGGAGGTGCCAGCCTCATCTTCTTGAACTTCCCACGCTCCTGTTGGGAGCTAAGAACACACTTATCTCCCTGAGCCTGGCCTTCATAGGTCCATTCCATCACACTAGGGAAAGGTCAGATAAGAGACAGCGTAGCCCGCAGCTGGATAGTGGCCAGGGCAAGAGGCTCAGAAGGGACTCTCCCCAGTTTCTCAGGCCGTAGATTCGTACTTTCAGACTTGCAAGATTCTATTAATGTAGCCTTACAATAAAGTAGAATTAGCTCATCTGGTTGTGTTTCCTGCCTGGCCTACCTGGTATGGCTGAGATATAGAGGATACTGGATGAGTACATAGTTTTAACTTCACCCCAGGGACTAGATCTTAACTCGTCAGTGGTTCGCATGATAAACCAAAAGGAGCTTCAGTTATGACAACACATTATCTAACTTAGGTTTCATATATTTCTTTGTTTCTCCAGCCCTCCTAACCAAGTGAGACCACTGATAGGAAGGTAAGACCCTAAAGGCATACCCTGCAGATCACACAATAGTGACTCTATTCCTCCTTTTCAGCCTTAAATCTATACTATGCGGTAACAAAACAAGACAGGATTAATATGGGAAATGTCAAACTGGTAAAATGAATTATAACTTCAGCTCATTTCAGCAAGGCAGAAAATTGTCTTATTATGACAAATTTTCCAGAACCTTTGCTCATGCTGTTTCCCACCCATCCCTTGGGCATAATCTTTTTCAGTTTCAAAACTCAAAAAATGGAAAATTAGCTAGTCTGGGGCCTGGTTGGTTCAAATTTTTTTGTTATGCACTTTTCCAAAACAGTTTTTCATTTGTGTCTCAGATCAGCACAAGATAATCAAAAAAGTCTAGTTGGTGGCTGTGACTACATCATTGTTGCCCCCTCTTTTTTTACATGCAACTCATGCATGACACATGTCAAAAGGGGTGGAGCTTTGATCACAGGTGCCACCCTGATTTTTTTTTACCCCTCCCTGTGGATGCCCCTGGTTGCAACACGCAAACCTGTAAAATATAAAATATGAAAAACACCTGGAAGGTAGCATTATTAGCACAAAGCTGTAATGTTATAACAGCAAGATCCCTATAAAGAAGTTCTGGTTAGTATTAATACTAAACCTAAACATGCTGAAGTACAAATACAGTATAGGATATAGAATGAAATACTTTGACCACCTTGTAGCTAAGTAAGTACTATACAAGATGGCCCCTTTCCATGCATGAGGATTGCTCTAAAATTCTCTTCCATCAAATTGAACAAAAACGTATAGAAAAAAATGTGGGGGGATTTCTTTGCCTGACAGTAGTTAATACAGAGGGATGTTGGGATGACCATGACAATTCAACCTGGGCTTACTGAAGACTATGCACCAAAAACCAAGAAAGGGGAACTACAATTAGCTTTGCCCTGTTATAATTTAGACATAGACTTAAAAGCTTTATATTTAATTGTGTACATTGGTGTGCGTGTGTATATATATGTATGTGTGTGTATGTGTGTATATATATATATATATATACACACACACACACACACACACACATATACACACACACACACACACACATTGATACAATATCACTAAAGATCCTAACAATCCAGTCATCTTTGCACAAAGGGTTTCTTCAGATCAAAGCCCTGCTAGTTGCATTTGTCTATGTGTGAAGCGTGGATAATTTTAATCTTGGCTGGGGTTTGTGGCTTATGGTGTTATGTTAACCCAGCCCTTCTAGTTAGGTTTATGATTCAATTCCTTGTGTAAACACCAAAATGAGATAAGTCAGTACCTAGATTAAGAATACGGTGCAAACGGGGTCAGTGTTTCTCTTTTAAGATCAACAAACAAGTTAGGAAAGGTTCTCAGATCACATCTTGATTCACTGGCATCAATTTACATGTGCTATTAAAGGCATCTTTCAATCACTCTTCTTTAATTAGCTGGCATCCAGATCTTGTGAAACAAGCTTAAATGACTTTAAAATAGGATTACTCAAAAATGGGTACCCAAATTAGTTGGAGCTTTCCCTGGAGAGCTGAAATCATGGGCAAATTGATATTAGGAAATATATCTCTGCAGCTATTTAGAAGTTAGGTCATTTAGATAAAATAGATTAAACGTATTAGCCTGTGGATCCACTTAGACGCCTATAAGCTTCTGAACTAACATCATTTATTTTTTACTACCTACAGTATCCTGGAAAACCTGGAATTTGAGAAGAGATACATCTGTAGCCAAGACCTCAATTTATTGTATTATTTCCATTTCATTTTATTGCTTTGCTTTGATTTATCTGACTAACTTGCAAATTGCCATAATAGCTGAAGATCTTGGGTGACACATTTATTATAAAAACAGAACAATAAAACAACAGGAAAAATTACATAAAAAGTATCAAATAAGGACAGCAGCAACGACGTTTTAGAAACAAAGGATAAACATAAGTAGATGCTGTTAAGCTATCCTATCACTTGGGGATTTAAAAACAAAAAGCCATCTTCAAAGGCACCAAGATGTTCTTTGCCTGGCATTGAAAAGTGGGGGAAGTGGGAAGGGAGGACAGGTTAACCTCTTAAAGAGTCTGAGGGCCATCATGGGAGAAGACCAATAAATCTTGGAGATCTGTAGGTAACGATACACAGAATAATTATGGGATTCCATGTCTGAAGCACTTCATTGGCTAAATTATCATTTTCTGAGGCTGAAAGCTGTATTTGGCTTTGGCATGGCAGGCTGAATGCCATATTCCAAAACGGGAGGGGTGAGGTCGGGGCAAAACTAAAATTGGCCTCAGTTCCATTTACTTGTAATTATTCTTCCAGATAATAGAATTACTCTCTGATCATGCTTCTAATCATTTTCCCTTTCTCGCTTTAAAGTGACACTTTGGTAACAGTTTCTGGCAGTCACAGGAAGCTGCGCCCAAACCCTTTGGAGGCCATTTGTGACAAGGAACTTAGATTACACCTCCCTGGGTTCAAACCAGCACTTTAGCTGGGTTAACACATTGCATTAAGCTAGGACTATCATATCTGGGGTGCGAGTCTCAGGACAAAGCTCTGTTTTCTTTGGGTGTAGT